CTTCTTCTCTGTCTGTATGTGTCAGCTTCTCTGTCTCTCTCTCGCTCTCTCTCTCTCTCTCTCTCTCTCTCTCTCTCTCTCTCTCTCTCTCTCTCTCTCTCTCTCTCTCTCTCTCTCATACAAGTAAATATCTTGGGCAGACACACTGATCTGTGTTTTCCACTTCATCTGCACCTAAACAGTGATGTTGAAACGCTTACCCCTGCATTACCAACATCCACTTCCCTCCAGGTAGGATTTACACTGAAACCATGGATTGGATTGGAGTGAGAAAGGCTTATTCACTTTAAGGGGTGACAGAGACCTTTGCCCTAAGGTATCTCCACCTACTTTCTGAGGCCACTTGGAGCAGAGGCAGCATAGGACAATAGGGGAGTTGGGAAGAAACCACCATGGAGACATCATTCCTTTGCTCCCTTATGAGATTTCTTCCAGCCAGACACAATGGGATAAGTGTTCCAAGCACCAAGTTCAACACTGGAGAAACACACAAGGCTGTCCAGGCTGCCTGGGAACTCACAAACTGGCAGGCAGGCTCTCTACTTGGGTGATTAAGCCTCCTGGGGCTATGAAGACTGTTCCAGGGGCACTGGTGAGGCTGACAAACCCACAGGTGATCTCACTGAGAGCCAGGAGATCAGCCAAGACATAGGATAACCAGAACTCTAGGCTGCTGTTTGGAAGACTCTACTCAAATAAAGACACCAGAAAATTTCAAACATCCTAACTAAAACTAAAATGCCCTGGAAGTCAGGCCTGGTAGCCCAGGCCTCAAATCTCAGCACTCTGGAAGCTGGGACAGGGGGATGAGGCCAGCCTGGGCTATCTAGGGAGACACTGCCTCAAAAGAGAAAATAAATATAGTATAGCTAACTTGTTGGACATTAGCCCTGCCCACCTTCAGCCTGTCCTAAACATATTAGCACATAGTTGGGCAAACTTGCCTAACACAAAAAGGCCTATAATAAAAATAATGTAATCAAAATATATTATAAAATATTATAGCAAACAACCCTGTCTTTATACAACAGCTTATATCTAGACTTAGCAGAGTAGACACATATCCAGTAGATGCAGTTTCCTCCTTAGCTGTCATAAAGACAATCTCGGAGGCACAATGTCATAAGCCACAGCTAACTTCAACCAGGAGACACAGCAACCTAGGCCTTCTCAGGATAGCCCCTTCGGTTGAGCCATGGCAAGAGGGTCCTAAGAGCCCAGGCAGTTGCATGGCCTTTTACAGGAAGAAGAGTCAATGCCCAGGCAGAAGAGCCCAGAGAGCTCCACGACCCCCACAAGCAGAGGTATACAGCACCTTTCTTCAGTACTCACCTACAGACAACTGCTGCATTCAACCCCAGGGTCAGCCTTAAATGCCCTCGGTATCACGCAGGTGTTTTGAGTTTGCTCATCCCTGGAGCAGACCTATTTGCAACCGAAGCGATGGCCTCTAGGCCTCTGGCAGCACATTGAAAACACATGGGGAGCTTTGAGCTCCAAATGATCCAGGTCCAGGGAATGCTTGAGTTGCATGAGGGTGGGAAGTCTGGGTCTCCCAGGTGACTGTCGTATCCAGGTGAATGCTGTGAGGGGAACATGAGCCAGCATTCAGCGTTGAAGACTCTTGGAAAACTATTAAGGATGAAAAACAGAACAAAAGAGAGAGGAGGAAGAGTATGGGGGACAGAGAGACAGAAGATGAATGAACATGGCCTGGGGAGGTGACCCAGTTAAGCATGAGCAACTGAGTTCGATTCCCAGAACCCTTGCAGAAAAGTTGGGCATGGTGGCATGTACTTGTAACCCCAGCATTGGGAGTGCAGAGGCAGGAGGATCCCTGCAGCTCACTGCCCAGGCAGCTTAGCCTATTTGGTGTCAAAAATAAGGTGGAACTGTTATCCTGGGGCCTCTGTATGCATTTGCACATGTGCACACAAACACATATGCTCGCATAGCACACGCATGTGCACATGCATGTATGCGTGCACCCGCACACATACACTGGTGTCTTTAAAATTGAACTGAAACTCGAATGGACCCAGATCTGCATA